CGCACGCGTGTGTGCTAACAGTGAGAGAGGCCATCGAATTGTTTCGCGCAGTTATTACTAGCACGCCGCCCCTTTCGCCAACGATTTCCTGTGAGATGTATGTGGTCTGGATAGATAATCGGTGACTTTAAAGTTTTTTTCGTCCGCACCTATGTTCTTCGGTTTCGAGACGGATTGTGTCACAGCAAGGAGGGATATAGTCTACTAGCCAGCCTAGTGAACCTAGAAATGTCGAGTACTATAAGGTTTTATGTTGGAAATGCAATATACAGGTCATAAGGACTCACAAACTGCCGGATGCTAATTTGCATATGTGTAGCATTTTGCATAATCGGCCTAATTAGCGTATTAATTAGGTCAAATCACTAAATCAAGAATATCTTCCTTAGTAATCCACATAGAGACTTCATTCGTTTGTCTAGACCCATGTTTTCGACACTAAGCAATTGATCTGGCATGGATTCAAACCCCTACCTTCTATCCGACTGCCAGAAATCCAATATGGCTGCCATGCATAATGAGGTAAACCGTAAAATCAGGCAGTATAATTGAGCAACTGTTGGAAGATAGAGACTTTGTTTTGATGTTTAGCCCATGTTCTTAACACCAAGGATTCCATCGTCTATAGAACTTCTATATTATACAGTAAGTTATTATTATATATGAAAATGATAAATATTATGATGCAGCTAGATCATGGAATACATAGATGAACACCCAACACCATCAAACTACTTACTATTCGCCTTCCTTCATGGTTGTGATCATTCTCTCCAGTCTCTAGATCCTCTTCTCCTTCCTTCTGCTCTTTATATCCTTCTTCAGCATCATCTCGTTGTGTCAGTGAGTTACAACACTCATTTCCTCCTTCACACACATAGTAGCTGGTACATGACAATCCATTTGCTGCACAACCACACTTCCTGCTGCAGGCATTTCTCTGCTCGCAGCTTGCAGCTAATGACGTCCATGATTTTTTTGGTGCGGTAGGTTCTTTTAACATCACTGGTACCACTTCATCATTTACAGTAACTTTTCATCCATAGTTAGTGATTTGGACAGCAGGAGGGTCAGCCTTGTCTGCAGCCTTCCATAGCATCATTTGGAGATGTGCTCTCCGGATAGGGAGTCTCAGGTTGATGTCTGTTGGTGGAAGGGACTTCACGGATGGAGGATTCTTTTGCTTGCGATAAATCTCGTACCTGGAAGCATTCATTGACGTGCATTTCTTCTGGCCATATAAATGTAGGAAGAAGGCTTTGCCAGTTGCCATCAGGTCACTGTCAGTGGCATCGTCCTTTCCAAGAACTGAGTCTAGTCCAGCAATATTGGTCTGGTTGAGCACTTTCAGGGCGGACACTTTCCCTTTCCCATTAGGATAGGACACAGTGTCACAGCCTGAGAGTGCGTGCATTCCCAATATTTTCTTGCATTTCTTCCCGAGCTTGGTGACAGTGGCATTGATGTCAAGCACGGATCCATCCCACTTTTCCATCTGAACATGGCATGATACTCCATCTTTCCAGCACCAGTACACGAGCAGCACGAATACATCTGCGTCATCACTAAGGATGCGCACAGTCCGAGCTCCCACCGATGCAGCACGAAGCATGTAGCTGATGAGAGATATGTCTGCTTCATCATGATGCACAATACTGTTGGCTAGGGTCACAAGTTCAATGTTGCTACCAATATCAAAAAGTGTAAAAGTGAAAAACAAAATTGTCTATGACCTGGAAACGCTATTCGCCCGTCTCCTGATCGTTGGACAGAAGAGGAATCTTGAGTTGTCTGCTGTCTTCCATCATGAGCTGTGCCCTGTTTCTCCATCACTCATCGACGAGTATGGATTCCTCCGAAAGGGAAACAAGTCAGTACTAGTTAAACATCTCGGCGTCATCATAAGGAACCCTCTTCCCTCTGGCACTCTGCTGGTGGACGCCTCTCAGCTACTTTACCACAATGTCTGGCCATCCTCGGGTACAGTGGGTGATCTTGCTGAAGGAAGAAAATCTCGCCTCATCAACTACAGAGGGGCAGACACTTATGTCATCTTTGATCGGCATGAAAGTATTGGTGCAAAGGATCACGAGAGGCAGAGGAGAGCCGGGGAGGGATCCACTGCATATCAACTGACTCTGAACTCACCACTAGCTGGTCGTGATGCCATCATGAAAAACAAGAACAACAACAGGCAGCTCTCACAACTACTCTGCACACATGATCTTGGTAGCAACATTGAACTTGTGAGCCAAGCCAACAGTATTGTGCATCATGATGAAGCAGACGTATCTCTCATCAGCTACATGCTTCGTGCTGCATCGGTGGGAGCTCGGACTGTGCGCATCCTTAGTGATGACGCAGATGTATTCGCGCTGCTCGTGTACTGGTGCTGGAAAGATGGAGTATCATGCCATGTTCAAATGGAAAAGTGGGATGGATCCGTGCTTGACATCAATGCCACTGTCACCAAGCTCGGGAAGAAATGCAAGAAAATATTGGGAATGCACGCACTCTCAGGCTGTGACACTGTGTCCTATCCTAATGGGAAAGGGAAAGTGTCCGCCCTGAAAGTGCTCAACCAGACCAATATTGCTGGACTAGACTCAGTTCTTGGAAAGGACGATGCCACTGACAGTAACCTGATGGCAACTGGAAAAGCCTTCTTCCTACATTTATATGGCCAGAAAAAATGCACGTCAATGAATGCTTCCAGGTACGAGATTTATCGCAAGCAAAAGAATCCTCCATCCGTGAAGTCCCTTCCACCAACAGACATCAACCTGAGACTCCCTATCCGGAGAGCACATCTCCAAATGATGCTATGGAAGGCTGCAGACAAGGCTGACCCTCCTGCTGTCCAAATCACTAACTATGGATGGGAAGTTACCTTATAATGATGAAGTGGTACCAGTGCTGTCAAAAGAACCTACCGCACCAAAAAACCTCATGGACGTCATTGCTGCAGCTGCCGAGCAGAGGGAAATGCCTGCAGCAGGAAGTGTGGTTGTGCAGCAAATGATTGTCATGTACCAGCTACTGTGTTGTGAAGGAGAAATGAGTGTTGTAACTCACTGACACAACGAGATGATGCTGAAGAAGGATATAAGAGCAGAAGGAAGGAGAAGAGGATCTGAGACTGGAGAGAATATCACAACATGAAGAGAAGGCGAATAGTAAGTAGTTTGATGGTGTTGTGGTTCATCTATGTATTCCATGATCTAGCTGCATCATAATATTTAACTTTTTATAATAATATAACTTACTGTTAAATATATAAGTTCTATAGACGATGGAATCCTTGGTGTTAAGAACATGGGTCTAAACATCAAAACAAAGTCTCTATCTTCCAACAGTTTTCAGTTATGGTGATTTTCGGTTTACCTCATTATGCATGCACCATATTGGATTTCTGCAGTCGGAAGGATGGTAGGGGTTTGATCCATGCCAGATCAATTGCTTAGTGTCGAAAACATGGGTCTAGACACACGAATGAAGTCTCTATGTGGATTACTAAGAAAATATTCTTGATTTTTGTGATTTGACCTAATTAATATGCTAATTAGGCCGATTAAGCAAAATGCTACACATATGCAAATTAGCATCCGGCAGTTTCTGAGTCCTTATGACCTGTATATTGCATTTCCAACATAAAACCTTATAGTACTCAACATTTCTAGGTTCAATAAAGAAGACATGGGGGTGGCTAGTGGACTATTACTCTCCTCTCGCGGATAGTATCGTCCACGGCATCAGTCGCACGGTGAAAAGTTTGCCAGCCAAATGACCGTATTTCAGCTGAAACTTTTTCACCCCCGAGGCACAAAATTTGAATTTACACCTATAATACACGCGCACGCGTGCGTGCAACCTTACCCGCGTGTGCGCGCCCGGTCGCGTGTGTGTATGTGTGATTGTGTGACTGTAAAAACGCGTATTATAGCCGTATCTCCATATTTTGTGCTTTGGGGTGGGGTGAAAATGTTGAAACTGAAAACCAGCCATTTGTCTGGCTAACTTTTCCCCGTGCACCTGATGCCGCGGGCGATACTATCCGCAAGCGGGGGAGAGGGGGGGGGTGAGGGAGGAATGCAGCCGGAGATGTGCAAACGCATGCGCAGTCACACACACAGACACGGATGCACAAATTCCTTCTAATAATAGTTACTTCTCTCGCCTTCTCGCTCACCCTCTCCCTCTCCCTCTCCATGACTCTCGCCCTTTCTCTCTCTCTCCCTCTCCCTCTCCATGACTCTCGCCCTTTCTCTCTCTCTCCCTCACGCATTCTCTCTCTCTCGCAATATTTCTCTTCACGCACGCACATACAAACGCACGTACCAATACACATACGGCCCACACACAGGCATGGACGCACACATGCACAGGTACGCAGTACGTTTATTGTAGGCACATGCACAAACATATTACATTACGGACGCGACAATTCCTATTCCTCTTTCTTTTCTTTCTAATCCTTTCTCTCTTTTTCACCCCCCCCCCTCCTAGGCACAAAATGTGAATTTACGCCTATAATACATATAATAGATTTCAGCAGAGAATTTACGAGGATTCGAACCCAGGTTTTATAGATGTCAGTCTAGCGATCTAATCACTACTACGCACACCTACTATTACGAATTCCTCTCCCTATCTTTTTCTCTCTCTTCCTTATGTGTAACACGACCTCTGATTGGATAAAAGGCCAATAATTATACCGCGGTTAAATTATTATTTATAATTTTTTTTTTAAATGTTATATTTTATAAATTATATTTTAGCGGTAAAAATAATTATTTCTGAGTACGATGGCCAACCATACACGATGGCACCCATATCAGTCTATATATACACATTTTTATACATTGTGGTGTTACATTATACAATGTTATACATGCGTACATCCTTCACATGGCATTGTAAAGAATTTTGTATCATACATAGATAAGCAGCAAAATGTACTAGTAGGTAACCTTAAAGTTAACAAAAAAGGCAAATATCAGTTTAAATTATATTTTTTACATTTATTACGGTTTAGAAAATAATATTTTCATTACAAAATAAATTATGCATTATATGCGTCAATTTGTTGTCATTTGTTATTAGAAAACGCAATGCCCTTTGTAGAACTATGCACTTTAGTATTTAATATATTAAACGTTAAACCTCTTATGCTAAATAAAATAAATTACAATGAATTAATACTTAAAGTGTTATATTTGGAGTAATACAAAAACTTATACAACATAAAAACTTTACAGATCTTCAAAAATTAATATAGTTAGAAAAAACCAAGTTGTACATCCACTGTAATTTGACACAGCTTCAAACTAACAGTGATACTAAGCGCACTCAGTGTACCATGTTATATATTAAATTAATAGTCATACTAACATACATAGCTTATTACTAATCACCTCGTCAACCTAAACAAGAGCATACTTTGAACTCGCAATAGTTTGAGATGCAGGCCTGCTTAACATATCACTTTGAAAAATCTCACATTCAAGAGCACTTGCTTCTCTAAGGAGCCATATATACGGTATGAAAGCTTCCACTTTACAGGAAATAAGAGCATATTGATAATCATTTAGTAGTCAAATCGATCATCACTGCAGGGTCATCGTCGGACAATGCATGGTCTGATCTAAATGGGATGCGGACCGTACTGTGTCAGCCGGACATGGCTCATGATGAGACGAGTTCCATTGCCCTGACACAGCCATGCGAGGTAGCCAGCCACGAGCAGGAGGCAGGCAATGCGCAGTGCCGTGCCAACATCGATCACCCTCAATATGCGGGACAGAAGCCCTTTCATGCCCTTGCCATCGCCATGGCTCACCGACTTGCCTTTGTCATCACCACACGCCACTTCGTTGACTTTGTCATTGCCGCATGCCACGGCGTTTGCGTCGTCATCGCTACATTCCGCATTATTGTCTTTGTCATTGCCGCATGCCCCGTCGTTGGCATCATCATCATCGCTGCATGCCGCATTATTGCGTTTGTCATGGCCGCACGCGACTGTCTTGCCTTCTTCGTTGCAGCGTGACACTGCATCCATGTTGTTGTTGTTGCTATGTAGCAGAGCTGTCCCTCCCTCGTCGTCGCAGTGTGACACTGCATCCATGTTGTTGTTGTTGCTATGTAGCAGAGCTGTCCCTCTTTCGTCGTTGCAGCGTGACACTGCATCCATGTTGTTGTTGTTGCTATGTAGCAGAGCTGTCCCTCCCTCGTCGTCGCTGCACGAAAGCTTCTCAGCATCACCGCGCGATGCCGACTTGTCTTCGTCATTGCCGCGTTGTCCCGCCTTTGACTCATCATCGCTACGTGTACTCAGCACCTCTGATTGGTCACAGGGTCCTTCCTTGCTGTCGTTGTCATCACAGACACTGACAAATGAATGCAAGAGGAAAAAGTGTACAGAGTTTATCAACGGACACTTTCCCTCATCGAAATGTTAACATCGGTCTATGACACGAGCTTTGATATCGCTGCGTCTTACACAGTAACGAAGCAATGAGCTAAAGTTACATGGCTTTATGCTTAAGTATACCTCACGATATTTTCTTGGAAATGATTGCGAGTCAGAACTGCCACAGTTGTCTTCATGAATATACTCAAAAATCAATACACTTCTGATCAATAATATAAAAGTACAGAGTCTCACTACATTCTGATTCAACTCCAGCTTACCTTGAATTCAGTTCATCGCTAGGCTTCTCTATCACGCCCACAGCTTCCGGCAATCTAAAAAATGATTCAATTATATAGCAACTCATGGGACATATTGACTGATGGACACATGAAAGCATATTCATTGTGCCAAAAGTGAAAAATTAGCCGGTATTACGATATTATAACATGTAATAGTTTAATGATTTTAATGACAATAAATTTTGCTATAAGCAAGGAAAATGAATTATTATTACCCTGGTGGTGGGACTGTTTATGATGGCTGTTGCAATCTTAACATCACAATGACATTATCGTTATGCAAAAACCTATTATCAGAATCAACAATTACTCTTACCTTACTTCTTGACTGTGTTCAAAAACTGTACGCTTTACATCATTTCTCAGCTACAAAAAAGCAATAATAAATTACTCATTACTATGAATGCAATAAGAGCGAGACAGTGATCACCCTAAAATATCACAATGCCACAAGAATATACATCAATGTTTTAGTTCTGCTGATAGGGTCTATGTCTACCTGGGTACTGCCGGAACGTACCCTGGTAACTATCTGATATGGTTAGGGTTAGGGTTAGGGTTAGGGAGTAGGCGTAGGCGACTCCCTAGACTCGTTAGTGGAGTAGGCGAGGTACAGTCCGGCATATTAGATAGTACCAGGGTATGTTCCGGTATACCGGACCGTACCCAGGGAGACATAGACCCTGGCAGCTTTAGTTCTCTGTACTACTACACATAAAATCCTTGTCGGCAACCCCCCCCCATCCCCCAACAAAATTGTTACCATGCTATTGACACTTGCCTCTCTCCGTCCTTGCGAGATGGCCTCCGGCGTGAGAGGAGCCAAAGAGTGTGTCGACGAAGAATCGAGGGAGACATTGCCAGAATCAGCTGGCTTCTCGCAAAATGGTGACGGCAGTTCCTGGTTCCTCCGTACCTATGGTTACAACCCACGTCATCACCAGAAAATCAGACTCGTCTTATAACGCCACCTGCTGGCTGATAATTATTGATAGTCGTATTTCTTTACCAAGACTAAGAGTTAACATTCCCATGAAGCAAAAAATAATTGGTATTAATTATACTCCCTGCCTCGCATAGTTTCTAAAACCTTTTCAGTTCCTAATAGATTATAAAATACAATATTAATATCAATATTGATACTTGCTGCTAACATTTTCACTCCCTAATGATATGTAGACTGCAGGGGAATACCTTATGCCACAAGAGTGAGAATGCATTTGCTAGATGTCATATTATTTCGATACAAACTATTATTGTTAGGAATAATGTGGGGATTAGATTAAGTGGTGTGTCTATCTACATTATGCCTCCGTGGTTACACCCACCTTAAATTCAACCGATAAAATATTTTTTTTCCGGGTTTTGACATGATTAACGAACGACCTGATTAACGGCTCAATTAACAGCTAGTCGCTGGAATTTCACATAACACATAGACATAACATTAGTGTGAAACGACGTGCAGGTTCAAAACGAAGCTATTCAACCGTTAGGATTCGCTCACAAAATCTTCAAGTTCCATTCGTAGGGATGGCATGCAACATACACCCTCGAGTTTGTTTTCGGATTCCAGCATCATAGACACAACTGAAGTGTGGCTCCTATCGTTCTCCAACAGACTTCTATCCGCCCTATCCATACTACTAAAAGTATGAAATAAGAATTTATATAATGTAATAGTGCAAACGTTTGTTTTGTAACGTCAGTCACGAATTTGCTAAATGATTTCTGCACGGATGAATAAGCAATAGACAATTAGGGTTGATAATAAGCACTGTCACACGAACTGTAGACTAATACTGTAACTGTTACTGTAATTGTAGACTGTACACCTATCGCATTCACAGTAAGAGCAATGAATATAGTGCGTAATAAAGAGTGATATTTACCATTCATCTCTGTCAGTGTAATATTTCAACAAATCTTCTAGGTCTTTTTTTTCCATAATCAGTTTCTATGAAATGAGGAGAGAAAGCTCAAAATTAATCATAAATGATGGTCACAAAAATAACTAGAGCACTCGGAGAGCACAGACCTCCGCCAAGGCAGCTGAATTCTCTCAATGTGAAATTTTTTATTAATTAATTAATTAATTAAGTGGAAAAATTAATTAATTAATTAATTAATTAAATAATTAATTGGATCCGGATTAGTGCGAGCGTGCAGGTGGGGGAGGACTGTGGTTGCCCCTTAGCCTGTGGTTGCGTGATTGTAAGTCTACAGCCAGCGCACCTAGCGGAAGTGAACTGAAACGTGCATGTTAACAAACCCACAAACCCACAAACCAACACTCTAACACACGCCGGTGAAAACATAACCCCCGCCAAGCCCCTGGCGGAGGTAATAACACTCACTCTCCGCAAATCAATTACTCCATAGTTAATTAATCGAACAAAACAAACACAAAAATTTACATGCACTGATAAAATGACTCAACCAATATACGGCTACAATAGCACAGAAGTTACGTTACACACTAGTAAATGTTAACTATTGTAATATAAAAGCCAATTATGCCATTTGGCTTACTAAAGTAGCCATGCAAATAAACGTAGCTGTACACACACTCAGGCTCATACCCACACACGCACACATCCATACACACTCACACATGCACGCACGCACCCATGCATGCACACACACACACACACACACACACACACATAAGCGTGAACATTGAATCATTACTACGAGACCATCTAAGTACCTCAACACTGTCCAGCAGCTGCTCAATTCTGGCTTCACACTGCTCTAAATCCTCCCTCCGCTAGAATCCAATCACAACATCACAGCTAAGACAACATGAACAGAATTTTGATGCGATGCTACAACTCATATAAATAACAACACCTGACTGTATCACGAAACAATTGTACTCCATAATATCCAAGTCAAGTCAATGTTGCAATATCTAAACCACTGTGATTAAACAGTGATGGTATGACCAAAAACAGGAATCACCACAAATAAACCATCACTTTTATGAGCAACTCATACCTTGTCCAGATCAGCTTTAGTTTGTTGATGAAGTGCCTGAATTGAATAAAAACATCACAATACATACATGAGTGTCACAAACATTCCACGCACTACACCGGAGTGACAAAGTAGGCTACCATTAAAAGATTTCCTATTATGCTGTAACACAATACAACCTTGATAGAATTTTTCAGCTGTATATAACTTGTACACGTATATAAGTATTGAATGCTAGTGTGGCAAGGGGGACAATTGCTAGTAGGACAGGTTGGTTTACTGATCTACCAACTCCTAAAGTGCTGATTCAGGCTACTTCAACCAAGAAATATAATAAGTGTCTATGAGATATATAAAAGCAAATATAAAATCTTATAAACATATAACACCACCTGTGAATACAGTGCACAACATACACCTTTATACAAATGCTTCAATGATATTTACAAAGTAACTAACCTCACCCACCAGATTTTTCACATCAATGAGAATATCTATACTGACCTGAAGTGTTGTGAAATCAGCCTTTAACTTTCCATTGCTAACGTCATATCCCATCAATTCCTTATCCTGAGAATCCAGCTTCAAAGCAAAAACAAAAAAGGTGATAATACAGTCCTTGTGTTTTAAGGTGCGCGATCGCGCTCGCGTGCCATCGCGCGCCTCGATTGATCAGGAGAAGTGCGAAAAAACGCGCATCTAAGCATGATCAAAACGCACACCTCGCTTCGTGTTTTATTTTCGCAGAGGCTACGGGTACGTTAGCCAGTCACACTACGCATGCGCTGCTGCCGTATCTTAATGTCTCGAAGCTATGGATACTACGAGTACACGGCAGTCCCACACACAAGTACAAACAGTAACCCTATCCCTAACCCTAACACCAACCCCAACCCCAACCTCAACTCTAACCCTAACATTAACACTAACAATAAACCGACTCGGTTATCTTATATCGGCCATCTGTTATACCCGGGGAGTGTTCCTAGATGAAAAAAACCTGTCAAACCGTCAAACTCACCCAAAAATCCGTGAAAAACCCGTCAATTCGTCAATCTTCACACAATGTCATCACTCACTGTACAGCGCTGCCACACACAGAAAAATCGATTCCCTCACCTCATCCGGCTGCTGGTATTGTGAAACCGAAACCAATACTAAAACACACCACAACCAGCACCAGTTTCACCAGTTCAGAGGTACTACTCATTCAGCTCAGAGGTTCAGTTCAGATGCTACGATCTCAGAATGCATTGTACCATTCGAAAGCTATGCAGTTTCTGATTCAGTAGGAAAATTTCTTCATTTCAATGTGCATGGCTGCGTGTCTCTATCTATACTATGAGCAGCTAATAATGACAAATTTGTCCTTATACTATATTCCTTTTATTCATGGTACGATCTGACAATGGACAGCTGTAAGTGGGAGCGCAAGAGCTGGAGACGCCAGCAATCTCTACATATTTGCACCAGAGAATAAAACGAAAAACATTCTTTATCAAGGGGCTTTCAAATGAAAAGTCCAACCAATTCCTACATGCTGTTATAATAACTTTTTCTCATTTACACCATATTACTATTATGTCCCAACGGTTCTAAGTTCGGTTGTGCTGTCATATAAATGTCATACGTAACAGTTTTTTCGTTTTTCCCATGCTTATTATCTTATTACACTCATTTCTAAATATTAATATTGTGTGCAATGTTATTGTCGATTTTTACCCAATGTTCCTATTGTGTCCCATTATTAGTAGTATGAATTAGTAGCAAGATTTTACCCAGCGCAGCGGGTGGGTACCCGCAGCTAGTCTTATATACGCGTGTAAAAAGAGATAAACAGTCTATGGTGTATAACCTTTTTCTTTCAATATTTTGCATTTGAACTGACAATCAATCCAAAACAACTAGTGTAGGCTAGCTAATTAATTAATTAATTAATAATTAACTCAATTATTAGGCTGGAGATTAATTAATAGCTAGTGAACGGCATTATTTTGTGGGAAAGCGGCGCATGCGCAAATGGACTACCATACCCGTAGCCTCGAGACATTAAGATACGGCTACCGTACCCGTAGCCTGTGGGCACTCGGATGCAAATCACACACCTCGGCAAGCCAAAGTGTGTGATTTTTCACTCGCCTGCCTTTTCCAAAACACAAGGACTGATAATATGAGCATGAGCACGAAAACAACACAACAGCTTGTACACATTCAGAACAGTATGAGAACAACGCAGCAAACAACACGACATATACGGAGAACGAGGGAGGCAGCAAACATGGGAACGACGTACGAGCGCAGCACACTCACGTCAGAACAGTATGAGAACGAGGGAGGCAGCCCGTCGTTCCCATGTTTGACGTGAGTGTGCTGCGCTCGTCTGCAGATAGCCTCCTGTTGTTCTTCTCCAGCGTCGACACGTCCTTGCGCAGCTGATACAACTCTGCATCTATCAACGACCTCCGCTCCTCGACCTCGGCCAGCCTCACCTTCAGCTCCTGGTTCTCTTCTTCGATCACCTTCTGCTTGTCCAGCTCCATCTGAGAACTGTGGTAATGTTCTGAGCGTGAGAGCAAGAGTGGTGCACGCGACTCGTATAAAATAGCTACAAAATACATGATACTCTCTTCTTCGATAGCCTTCTGCTTGTCCAGTTCCATCTGAGAACTGTGATAAAGTTCTGAGCGTGAGAGCAAGAGCGGTGCACGCGACTCGTATAAAATAGCTACAAAATACATGATATCAGTAGTGACACCAATGACAAGATATCTGGTTGCCAGAGGTATTTCAATGAGAATACAAGGTGCAAGGAAGAGAGATCACTGGTCCAATACAACCTCTGATACTGCACTCTCACGGCTTCCAAGTCGTTAGACAGCATAACGTTGATCTGTTCCGTGGCGGTGATTTGAGCTTCCAGCTCACTATTCACTTCAGATAGCCTAGCGTTGCTAAACTCTAGGTCCGCATTCCTGGTCAAAAGATCAGAGTTGTAGCTGTGAAAGAATGGTGATAATTACATGCCATTAATTGTTAATACGATGACCACTCACAGGTATGTTGTGAAATACCATGGTAAATATCAGAGTTTCAGGGCATGAAATTAGCCAAAATGTGAACAGGCCCACCCAAAATTTTAAACAGGCCCTTAGACAATTTTAACAGGCCCTTAATTTTGTTCAGTTTATTTCATTATTAATAAAGTATTAGCTGTGTGTTTATTAGGCATACTCATAGTATCTCAGTATTTCATTGCTATCAGTGGAGTTCTACTTGTTTGACAGGAATTGCCGACGTGATTTACTTCTTAGTAGTCACTAAGTAAAAACTAGCCAGGAAATTGGTAAATATTGTTAATATAAAGGCAAGATAGGCAAAATTTGGAATAGGCCAAGTGGACTGATTATATCGGGGGTTGAACCAGCGGCCGCCGGCAAAATAGCGCTAATTTCACGCACTGGAGTTTGAATAATTATAATTCATGAAATGTTCTTCGTTACTATATCGTTCAAGTTATACTCTTGAAGAATTGCAGAACAGAAAAGCAGATTAAAGAAACATTGCAGCACCAATTTTGAAATATAACACCAGCTAGTCAGCAGTCAAAACAAGAGGAATAACAATAATAACTACAAACAACTGAAGATTTGTTATTAGTGAACAGCATAAAAAACATATTGAAAAAAAGTTCGAAAGTTCAGGTGAAGACAACCGACTTCAAACACTATCACATCTTGGCAGACATAATTGACCTTTACACTGCTCTCGCCAGTAATGTTTGTGCTCAATTCCAAGTCTTCACAAATATGTTTTAGTAAGCCTGGATGCCAGGAAATAAGCCGATGAAACTAATAATTCTCTAGCAAAGATTGCAGCGAAATGGGCTCCTCAGCGTAATCCCTCATGCCATCATACCTATGTTTATCTTCAGCACAGTCTTCAATTGAGCCATAAGTAATGTTGTGCATATCTGGTGGCAACACTGTTATACCGGGAAAAGGAAAAATACATGTAAGTAAAAACCTCAGCAATAACCATAGAGTCAAATCAAATAATTGAACTTTTCGTGAAAAACTGCACTCTGTATATAATTATGCAAGATTGGTATCAGCTTTGTATTTTCGATTTAATACCGAGCTTACGCAAAGTGTATAATGCATTACATCTCTAAATTATGCATAATTAAAACATTTCTTTCACGTTTATATTAGATATAATAATGTAAATTTGTACAGGTACTTACCTTGAGAGATGTTGCCCACATCGTCACAACTATAACTGAATGTAAAAATAGACTTATAAAATAGCAAAGATAGAAACCCATCACGCTGTCAGTAGTATACTATATTTTGTCATCTATTTGATCGATTTCTGCTTTTATTAACTCTCTTGATCCTGATTACCTATGGGCATATATAATCTAACCAAAATAGATTTTTATAATTTATAATTACTATTTTTACTACTTATAATTTCACCATAGTTACTGATTCTATCACTGACAAAATTGCACGAGCCTATGTACCTCATTCTTTGTTGTTGTATCCAGTGTTTGATGCCAGACTTGTAATTAGACATGCTAATTTTATTGTTGACACAGTATGCATGAAGAATTCCTCGCAGCTTATGCAGCTCTCCTGAATTCTGAAAGCAGGAAGGGTAAGAAACAATTTGGTCACACTGACGTACATAACTAATTCTCTAAATGAATAACAGATTTATAGCCATGCAAGTATAAGAGGGAGAGGAGTGGAAGAGAGAGAGGGGGGAGGGGAGAGAAATGGAAAAAGAGAGGGAGGGAGAAGAGGAGGCACAGAGTGAGACAGATAGTTAGTATATATATATATATATATATACAGGATTCGAAAAAAGGGCAGCAAGCAGCAGGTTTGCTGCATACAAGAGGCAGTTTGCTGCCTGCTCTCAATGTTGGCAGCAAATACTTGCTGCAAAAAAATCCCTAATAAACCATAGTAAAAGCACTAAAGACTGTCTGGTCAAGCTAATAGATAGATGTTATATAGATAAATAGATAAATAAACAGATAGACCGACAGACAGACAGACATGCAGACAGACAGACATGCAGACAGACAAGCAGCATGAGAAACAGACACAAAAATAGATAGTTGGGGTAAGAAAGAGCAACTTCACCTGTAATTAGTAGATTATTGGTTTCATCAAAATTCCGCAGTGACCAAGTATTGGTTTAGCACACAAGTGACGCAGTAATACTGACGATGCGAATACATGATAATATTTCCATGTATATGCAGGGGTAGAAATCAACTTTTGAACACGGGAATCCAACGGACTCCCTACCCTCAAAAAGAGGGAGTCCGCAGTCTGAAGTTCAAAATTAAAGATATTAACAATAACGCATGTGCTTATTTTTAACATTCATGCGGTTGCACGTCTGCCAAATTTTACTGAAAAAATACGGTAATTCCGCGAGGCCGTGCTCCGGAACGAACTAGTTAGAATGGCAGAATTTTCAGAGAGTCACACGGACTCCTTCATATGTCAAATCAGGGAGTCCGACAGTAAATCAGGGAGTATTTGACTCCGGACTCCTGTTAATTTTGCACCCTGTATATGTGATCAAGAGCGTTTTAAGTATGCTTATAAGCATACTTAATACGCTCTTGATGTGATGACTAGATCAGTCAGCCATGGGTTATATGTTGCGTGCGCGCACCTCATGTTCAGATGCCACTATTTCCCGAATACGCTCTAACAGCATAGAGACATCCACTTCTCCCTCTTTTTTGACATCACACATCAGAAAAACGCTGTCAATCAAATCTTCCTCTGCAATATAAACCGTTATCCATATTAATCACCATACTACCAACTAGCTCTAGTACTATAGCCCACGTACAGTTGCTGCAGGCCTGCGGCAACTGTACGCGGGCTATAGTTCTAGAGCTAACTACCAACATAATATGAAGAAGAATATATGCGACTGAGTATATACCTATCAATATGAGACGTCAATAGACACGCCAATGTCCAGTACACAAAGAACAGTAAGAAATACTATAATATAATACAACAATGTTAACATATATCACAATTAGACATATTATAATTGTAAAAATGGAACGATACTATTTACGATAGTGCAGTGGCTGCCCAGATGTATTACTGTATAGGCCCCTACCTGTTTTGAGTCTGCTGACATCATGTGCCTCACCTGCTTCAGTCGATCTTTTTGGAAAAGAGCTGTTGATTTCTGTTTGCTCACAGGATATCTGCATCTTGCCACTGACACTGTCACTCGAACTTGTGTTTGTAAGCTGACCAGCTTGGCGCTCCATACTGCTTGCCAAAGAAGCCATCACGGAGCTCTATATAAACATATAGAGTAGTTAATAGTTTTACGATAGCATAAACGCTAGCATAAAAAAATGCTAGCCTGACACTGACGCTCATAGGGTCTATGTCCCCCAGGGTACGTTCCGGCAGTACCCCGGGGGACATAGACCCTCTCAGCGACACTGACAGGCTAACGCTCCATTAGGAGTGTTCCCAACTTTGATATCATTAATGATTAATGATTAATTATTGATAATCCTAACCCTAACCCTAACCTAAATGACATTAAACCACAAACTAATATATGACCATGACCATGTAATGATATATATATATATATATATAATGACCATTAATGACATTAAAGTTGGGAACACTCCTAATTTCCGGAGTATCACCCCACTGACAGGCCGGCTGTGCAAGCACAAGTTCAAGCAAGCAGATTCCGTTCGTGTGGCAAAGCCATGCCAGAAATAAAATGGAGTAAACACAATATCTACAATACATGTACATTGATAACTAATATTCCGATATTTTTTCGACATTTATTTATCTTTAATATGTTCAAAACAAATTTAATAACATTTTACGATCAACCTGAAAATGAACATACCGCCATCACAGATGATCACGTGATACCATAACAATCAACAAGTGGCTTTCGGCAGAAGAGATTTTTTCCATTGATCTCAATATTATATGGAGATCATTGGATTTTATCAAAGACTTAATTTTATGTTGTCTATTTAAGAGTTAAAACAGTAATACAGCTTAAGTTGTTAACGATTTTTTCGCCAATAATATGCCGGAATCGCATATGGTACGCGCACAGTCTAACGTGGTGGAATTAACTCATTTTAATTAAAAAAATTGACAACTAAATATATTCTCGGTGACTCTCTTTCGGCTCTCACATGGAACCGTAATTATGCGTTCCAAATGACATACATTACATACATTATACATTTCTACACGTCTATATATATGTTAATGATATTGTATTGATTGTATTGTATCAGGCCCGTAGCCAGCTTTATATTGGGGGGGGGGTTCGTTTTTAAATGTTGCAAATTTATGAGGGCGCGGGAAGCGACCGAGCGAAGGAGCATATAGCGACCGAGCGGGGGGAGGGTGTGGGAGGGCGGTGGCCCCCCTCCCGCACGATGGAGATTTTGCAATTATTACACTAAAATGGAGCGATCTGGTGCATACCTGAGGTGAAATTCTTGCAAATTTTTAAATGGAAAAAGAAAGAAAAAAACACCTATTCAGTGAAAATATCTTCGACTATGTGGTCTTTTCTACGCCCCTCCTCTTCCTGAGCAGTCTGAAGTGAAAAATGCACAGCATTACAGTCTTCAGACCGTAATCGACGCCATCTGTGTCGCGGTCGCAGCCGGAAGCGCCTAATTTCTCTGGGGGGTCATTATATATGCCGGTATTACCCCATGTGCGTTCTCACTAAAAATAATAGGCTCCCTAGTGCGAACTGCACATTGGGAAACCCTACCCCCTATTGCAGACACAATTGAAGAATATCACCTCCTATTGCATACACAATGAAAATATCCCACCCCCTATTGCATACACAATGAAAGAGTCCTACCCGGACCCCTACCCCCTATTGCGAGGTCTTGAATTGAATTTGAATTTGAATTTGAATTTGAATTTGATTTATTGCGAGGTCTTGCAGACAAGTGGAGGGCAAAGAGTGGAGGGAATGGAGGGGGCCCGTGAGGGGGCCTACTGCGGGCGCGGTGCTTGACTTGAACGATCTCGAGGGCTTATTGCGGGATTAGCTTTGTAAAGGGGGCCTATTTGCTCGCGCGCGCGGGCCCGCTTTAGAAGTTGAAAAAACACCCCCCTAACGCCGCAAATTTGGAACGCACATGGGGTTAATACCGGGCATATATAGTGACCCCCCCCCCCGGGCTAATTTCACCATGCCCAACCACCTGCGTCATAATACGCGTATACGCGGTCGACGCAGTACACAATCAAGATCAAGAAGATCAAGATCTGCCATGTTTGACGGCCGGCGCGAACCCCCCCTGGGGGCTTTTTTTTCTTTTTTTCTTTTCTTTTTTTTTTTTACTCGGGGGGGGGGGGGGTTCGTGCAACCCTTCTCGAACCCCCCTGGCTACGGGCCTGTAATGTATGGTACTTGTATTTCTAGAAGACTAGTGCTTAGATTGATTGTGGCTCATCTAGGGAAGAATTGAAGGTCATTAATTAATATACCTATACTGCTATAGTTCGATGGAATGGTACCGCGAGACCCTGTCCCGAGGGTACCGGAAAACCGGTGCTCAACCGGTATAACATACTTACTTCTGATTACCACTCTCTTCTGCTTGAGGAAGGGGAATGGTCTCATTGTCAATCATTGTGGACATCATCATTGAGAATTATTGTAGTCATTGATTCATGAGATCATTGATTTAATAATTGATTTGGGTTGAACATTGATTTGATTGAGAATTAATCCTTGCGATCAGAAATTAAGGAGGTACGTAGATACGACTCAGATAAATGTCAATCGAACTTTTACGTTTCGAGCGTTATATATACGTCCCTGTGAAGCTTCATGGTCGCCATTAGCGTGGATATATCGCACCCGCTAACTTAATATAGCCAATACTCATTCTCAAATCTAAAACTGAACACGATATAAGGTTTATTATATTACTGAATACTGCGTTTACGCTGCAAATGTAACAGGTTTCACATGCCAACGAAGTAGGATTATTAGATGAATTTCTGGTGAAGCATGTGCGTGAGCGCGTGTTTGTGTGCGCACGCGCGCGGGAGTGTGTGGGCACAGGCACTTGAAGCGTTTCAATAAAATATAATGCTAAATAAATACGAAATCTATTAACTACCAAAGTCTTAATGTTTCTCTACTCTCCTTTACCTAGCATTATTGCCGACAAGCCGTGCTGCAAATGCTCCAATGACAGCAAACACACGCCCGCCGAATGCACGCTGCTACGCTGCTGCGCCGCTGCACGCTATGCACACTTACATTATGCGCTCTATATTTATGTGTAAGTGTGCATAGCGTGCAGCGCGGCCCGCGCACTGAATTAGCAATTTTGGCCACCGAGTTGTCTTTCGCTGGGTGTGCGTCAGAATTCGTTACTCGTTCGTCGAGCGCGCTGGACCAACGCTATGCATTCGTTGTCATTCGCTGTGTGCGTCGGGATTTTTGTGCATGCACAAAAATGTGCGCGGAGCTCAACGCATAAAATGTACACGCCCGAAGGACGCCAGACAGATCCCGACAGGCTGCGACTACAATACGAAATCGCGGTTCTCCAACATCAGCAGAACCTCATAAAACTGGCACTTCACCAAGTCCATGTCATCAGGAGAAGGAGAAAGAGAAGAGGTCAACGGAGGTTCTGGGTCCGACCGTGGATCGGTAAGCGACGACAGTTTGGCCTGTATGACCAGCTACTTGTTGAACTCCGTCACGAAGACCAGGCAGCCTTCAAGAACTTCATGCGGATGCCCCCCGAGATGTTCGACGAGCTGCTAACAAGAGTGGGTCCGAGGATCACCAAGCAGAATACAAGCTACAGAGAGGCCCTCGACCCTGGCCTGAAGCTTGCCCTCACTCTGCGGCATCTTGCCTCTGGGACCAAGTATCACTCAATGTTCTATGTGCGGAGGGTGCCTCACGACACCATATCCCTGCTCATCCCAGAAGTGTGCCAGACCATCATCGATGAGTACAAGGATGAGGTGATGAAGTGTCCCACCACTCCTGAGGAATGGCGTGCCATATCTGACAAGTTCATGGAGAGGTGAAACTTCCCCCATACCTGTGGTGCATTTGATGGCAAGCACGTCAACTGCAAGTGTCCTCTAAACAGTGGTTCCCTATACTACAACTACAAAGGATTCTACTCCGTTGTCCTCATGGCGCTCGTGGATGCTGATTACAAGTTCATCTGGGCAGACATCGGCGGTATGGGATCAGCATCAGATGCTCAGATCTACAATGCCTCTGAGCTGAATGAATGCGTTGAAGATGGTAGTATAGGCTTCCCTGATCCCGATCCTTTTCCCAACGACAACCAGGATGTGCCCTACTTCTTCGTCGGTGACGATGCCTTCGCCCTACTACCCAACATGATGAAGCCGTACAGCCTCCGGGGTATGACGCGGCCGGAGCGCATCTTGAACTACCGGCTTTCCCGAGCCAGGAGGGTCGCAGAAAATGCCTTGCCATCCTGGCCAACCGTTTCCAAGTTCTCCTGAGCACGATGCAACAGCAGCCCGAGATCGTCAAGCTCATTGTCACAGCATGCATGACCGCTGCCGTTCGCTGGCTGTGCGTTGAATGCGCGGTGCATGCGCGGACCATTCGTTCCGTGCGCTAGCAACACGCTGTGCATTCGTTGGATTTTTTAACATGTGCGCCCTGTATACGCTCTGTATGCGCCCTGTATACGCGCAGCGCGCTAGCAACACGCTGTGCATTCGTTGTCAACTCGCTAGCTTCTCCCAAATCCTGACAAAAGTTGGGTGCACAACGACGCACTGATCTTATTTTCCATTTTTTTCAATGCGCGGGCTGTGCGTCGCGTATGTGTGACTGGGCCATACATATATGTGACTGACTCATTAGAAATCAATGATATTTTAAATTACGATTTATATATTCTTTATTCTAATGTGTCTGATGATGATGTTTATTAAATTTGTACTATTTACCATTGAATAAATATTTTTGTGACTTAAAAACTTTTAGCTACTTTTTTATTAAAACCTCCACCAGATCTAGAGGTCATCTTTTTGTTGAACTTTTTTTGTCAAGACAAAGGTTGTCGACATCTGGTCGGTCTGGTCGATAATATATATATAGGCCCTATATATATATATATGTGTTTTTTATGCTGCCTAGCCCACGAGTGGTTCGTATAGACGATGTAACAAGGCGAGTTCCATCCCATTCCTCCACCGCAGCCATCCAGTGGCATCAGGTTCTTCTTTATGCCATCATAGCGCTGGCCATAGGCGCTGTTCTATATTATTGGTGCGCACCGCCGCATTTTCTACCGATCTTATGCCGCCGTCAACCGCTATTCTGCACGATCATGCCGGTCACCAACCCTACATTTGACTTCGCTGGTCACGCTGTCGCTGCCGCCTCCACACCGTTCTTTTCCGGCCATCCTCAGCCCACCGCCTCCCGCACACCACAACCGCCGCCGAACATCCCAAAACCGCTAGACCATCCCCTGCAGACGAGCGATGATTCGGAGGGCGTCGAAATGGTGACACTTCGTCGTCACCACTAACACTATTATCTTAGAGCATACCGTAGCTATAGTACGCGTCGCACGTTCGTGTCACGAAGACCTAGGAGTCTCGCGCGCCTCGGTAGCTCATGTAGTCGCGGTGTTGGTATACCGCTATATAGGTATATATATATATATATATTAACGCACGTTTAGGTACCTTTTTACGGTTGTTCAGTCTTTTGCGGTTTTATTTTCAGCGGTTCGCATATGCGGTAGCCGGTCCACGCGGGTAACGCATTCTACCGCTTCTACTGCTGTTGCCTTCATCCACTATGTAATCACCGTCTTCATAGAGTGATGGGGTTGGAACACGCGGCGCGATACCTGCTGGCGTCGGTCGTCTCCTGGGTGCTCCTCGCCGGGCGCACCTGCTCGCTGCCGCCACCGACCGCGCCGTCAGTGACAACGCCGTCGACCCCCGAGGCGATTCCAGCGACCGTCCGTCACCGTCGGCGAGACAGCTGGCCGCCGCTCGCCACGCCCGATCGACCCCTGCAGGCCGTTGTCGGGACCGCGAGACCGCCGCCACCGCATGACCACGACCACGACGGCAACGCCCACGACGACGCCCCCGAGGACCTCTGCGAACTCATCTGCCGGTTCATGCACGACAACATCCTCGCCAACATGAATGGCATCGCGCATCACGAGGACGCCCATCAGGCCCTCCATGACCTCATCGATGAGTTCATTCATCGCAACCTCCGCGCCAACCTGGCCGATAACATTCCGTTCTGGCGCTGGGAGACTCCCGGCCAGCACGACAACGCGCAGGGGAACGAGGGCGATCGGTGGGACGGCGAGGAGCTGGCCGACGAGCTCCACGCCCATCTAGCCGATCGGTGGGACGACGGCAACTGGGAGGCCGAGGAGAACTGGGACCATCCTGACGACGACAGGCCGCCTATCCTCGTCCCCGAGCCCCGAGGCTGACTGGCATCGGATGTTCCCGCATCTGTTCCCCGAGGAGCTCCCCCGGTGGAGTAATTTCTTCCGGCCATGGTTTTTTGTTTGGGGGGTGTCTTCTTTCATTTCAAAAATGTTGTTGCCTTTTTTTATCTCCGCGGTCTCATATAGTTCACTTTTGCATCTTAAATTGTTTTATTGTTCTATCTAAAATTGTTTTGTTGTTCTATCTAAAATTCTTTCTCAAGTGGTTCGGCCGTAATCGTAACGGATATTTTATACGGGTATTAGACTGGTTCATATTTCAGGAAAAGAAAGTCCAGTAGGCATTTTTGAGGAAAAAGGGCCAAATAACTTTTTCTAGAGTGGTTTTTCATGCTGAATACGAATCTTTTGTTTGGATATCTCTATTTTGCCTAATTAGGTCAGAAATCAAGGTCAAAGGTCAATAATTAAGTTATATAATATATTTGACCAAAAAT